CTTTTTACCCAAATATATCACACTCAGTGACAGTACTGTTTTTTGACTGCCAGTAGCGTTTTGCTAGTTTTGCTCGTAACGTTTTGTAGTATAATGCAGTCAAATTTTCTATATCTTTCACTGATGGACGTACTTGAAAACACGAGGCTGGAAGTGCTCCTTGTCTTTCATATTTTTGTGAAAGTAGTGAAATCATTGCGAGTATTGTTGTTCTTCTCTTGTTGCAGTAGTGCATTTATTTGAAACTTGAAGGCATATTGAGAAGATCAGCAGCGATGACCAGCAGTAAAGAGACATTTCTGGTCCAAATCCTAATTCGGAATAATAACCTTTGCAAATAGGCTCCGAACTAAAGAGAATACCGGTGATTCCATTACTTTTACAGAAATATTAAAGGGAAGGAGCACTTTCAGCATCAGGTTTTCATGTGGATTCGCCGGTCAAATGCAAAAAAAATTTCACTCTATTATAGTAGAAAGTGTTGAGAGGAAAACTAGCAAAACAATACTAGCAACCAAAAAACAATACTGAGTGTGATATATTTGGGTTAGAAGGGTTCATTATGCAAGCAGGGCCATATAAAACGAAAAAATAGTCATAAGGGTAATTTTTTTTGCAAAAAATTTTGTGAAATTGTTTGGAAGTAGATGAATTTTTAACTAATTATCTGTTATTGTCTGTCACTGGAGTAGTACAGTTGAAAAGTTTTACGAGAGTCATATATACTACAAAAACAAATAAAATTTCGGTTGAAACAGAGGCTCTGAGATTTGCGAAAGCGCCAAAATGCTGCTTCATTTAAAGGGTTTTTCCAGTCTGCTGTCACTAATCCTACCATAACTGTTGATTTCGCAAAGATACTATCTTGGGATTTTTATATGTTGTGTAAAAATTATTTCTTAAAAAAACATGTCTTTAAAAAAATTTAAAATGTCGTTTTTTGAGGAAAAGCATTTTGAGTTTTCGTTTTTATTCTATTTCAAAATAAAATTTGCTAATACACTTGTTTTACCATTCTTCGAAATCTGCAGGAGACAAACTTTTGAAAGAAGTAAAAATCGGGAAATTTTATTGCGAATGAAGAAAAACGCAAGCTCCTAAATGTGACCGTCTTGAGGGTGAATTGCGTCTTTTTTTGCATTTTAGAACGGCTTAGCTTTGCCGCCGGCACACTTTTTGAGACGAACTCTTTCGACTTTGAAATCTGGTATCAAGAACAACAAGTTGCCAAAAAATGAAAAAAATCAAATCTGAGTGGTCAAGGTGCTAACTTGTGCGATTTAGCATGGGATGGCCCATATATATTTTTATTTATTTATTTATTCATTCATTTATTTATTTATTTACTTATTTATTTATTTGTTTACTTATTCATTTATTTACTTATCTGTTCTTTTATTTATTTATTTATTTATTTATTTATTTATTTATTTACAGCGATCGTTCTGTGCCAATTCGCCTACTTTTTTCACATGATACACTCAGACTTCTTTTGAACTTTGCCTGTTTGTAAAATCTAGGCTGTGATTTAGAAGCGGAAGAGAGCATTTTGAAAAAATAGTTTTTCTCAGAATACGCTCTCTTAACGTTGCAGTGTCTGCCAAGTTACTGTTTGATATGCCAGCCTTCCAGCATTTGTAACTCAGCTTTGTTTTAATAGAATTTAGCAGTTTGCCTTATTAAGTTATACAAATCCTCTGCTTTTCAAACATATTACATTTTGCAATTACAGAAAAAAAAGGGCCTGTGAAGTTATATAAAAGATACACTTTTTGTAGAATTTTCTGATTTGTTGTATCACAAATAGTTGATATCGTTTTCCCAGAGTTAGTCGGAAAGGAATATCAAGCAGAAAACAATTCAATATTTAACACTGGTAGGATCGTTTTGAGCAGCTTCTGAGAGAGAAAAAGAAACAACTGTTAAAATCCGCTAATATTTACTTGTTGGAGATTTGTCAAAAAAATTTTTATATTACACAAGAATGTTGGCAGATCACCATTCAGCATTTTTGCAGAACTAGCGTTATTTTGGAGTCGTCTGTTTCTCAGTGTGAGAATTGCGCAGCTAGTACCTATCATGGCTTTATAAGGAAGTCCAAAGACTTGAAGCATTAGCTAGATAAGTCGAGGGCGCAGGTCCTTCCAAAAGTTTTTGCCGGCTACCTGGGTTAGAGGATTAACACTTGAAGTTAATAAAAGAACGTCTAGTCGAGCTCTAGTTTGTTTGTGTAAGCAAAATTTTGAGGGATGGACCAAGAGTACGTTCCTGAGAACCTAGAGGTCTCTTTGTTTGCTGGCTTCCTAAGTGCCGAAATGGTAATCTCGGTGTCAATATGTATTCTCTGCTTGCTTAACAGATGACTCTTCAGAGCTTATGTCACCTTAAACACTCTGCATCTACTTTTTGCAAATCAGATGATCTTCTTTGACCCCAGTTGACCCAAATATTTGGGAAGCAAAAGACGCCGGAACAAAGGTTGCTTCCTCTACTTCTGCAGGATAACAAACTTCTAATATCTGCTTGCAAAACACGCACATAGACTTTAAAGAATAAAATAAACAAACTCAGATGGCAATCCTTCATACCTTTTGAGAACAACTAAGAACAGTTCTGCCTCTGTGAAATGCGTAGAATTACTTGAAAGAAACTGTTTTTTTTTTTCAACTTGTATTTCTATCCTGTCCTGTAGCTCACAATTCCGGTAAAATGACGCCACTGAATTGTGCAGTGCTATAGGGGGAAAATTCTGCAAGAATTTTTTTTATACAGTTACATGATCTATTTTTTTCACTGTTGTTTTGAACTCTTTTATTATATTTACCTGAATGACATGTGGAATCGTGAGCTGTAATATGCATTTGGATGCAGAAGGGTCGGCGCTTCTAGTACTCAACAAAAACTGTCAAGCTTTGCTAAGGCCGAGCTGCATTATGACTTTAGAAAGAAATGCATCTCGAGCAGTAACACAGCAAACATTGCCGTTCTGAAGGAACTTGGCATGGAATCCGCTTTCACAAGTTTTCTCTCCGGCTCTTAAATTGTGGTCCACACTGTACCAAACAACAGAGTTTAAACGTTTTGAGATATTGAGCAACAAAGTGAGCAGTCAGCACACAACGGTTTGTAAATATTACGTATCATACATGTCGTATATTGTACATCGTATATTATACTTTTCATTTCACGTGTTATACATTGTGGGTTATATATTATATATTATACAATACATATCATATTTTATGTTTTATATTTATATTGCATATCATGTATTATATATTATATATCATACATTATACACTACATATCATACATTATATATTACATATTATATATTATACATCGTACACTATATATTATACATTATATAATACATACTGTATTTTACATTTTATATGTTATGCA